AATCTGATAAGATAATTTGCAAAGAGCAAACCAGTAGTAGCAATGGAAGCAGATAGTTATCTGCTATTGTTGGCCTATGTGCTATTCCAGGCAACCCTAATGGTAAATGACGTTTCAACCCAGATTCGATAATGAATACATTCAGATTGCATTGATTTATAATCCTTTGATTGTTATTAAAAGTCAATAAAATTATTTGACTTTTGTTGATAATTTTAGTAAAGAAATCTATGAGGCATGACAAAGGAAAACAAACACCTGAAAAGTCATAACATTTACGGTCGAAGGTGGCGTGTTGAGTTTAAGTGGTAATGACGATGGATTAGCTTTGTTTGGGATTTTCTTGTGACGTCAGCTGGAGGGCACTCTTTTGCAGACAAATGTTATCATATCTATTTGATATGTTTATTTAATGGTGTTTTTACTAAAAGAATCACGTTGTCCATTGGATTATCAGACTATAAAGTGCTTTGAAGTTAAGCACTCGCCTATATGGTGATTATGATCCAGTTGAAGAATGGACCTATAAGTGTTGTACGCTTTTCGTTAAAACTATGCAGTTTGTAGTCTTTAGAAGTTAGAAAATTCAATATTCCAGCCAAAAATGTCTAATATAGAATCAAGGTTTGGAGAAGCCACTACATAAGAGTTTTGATCGGTATATATCAATTATCATTGTATAATTATTAGAAGGTGCTGTCAGTAGGAATTACAATTTTCGAATACGAGCAAAGGTTTTAAAGGAGAAAATGGAAAAAAGATTAATTTTCAAAAAAAAAAAAAAAAAAAAAAAAACAAGTAAAAAAGCTGTAAGTTCGGCCAGACTTTGAATACCCTCCACCATTTGGTACGAATTTAACAATTTACAAAAAAAAAACACGGTTTTAAAATTCTGTTAAAATCATGTAGCCGTATATTAGAGTCTATATGGCGACGTGGACCTGCATAGGCAACTTTTGTCACAAGGCAACTTATATCACAATATTCAAATGCGAAACTTGAAATAAATCTGTTTATAATGTAGCTAAAATCGTCAAAATCGTCGAATATAGAGAGGTACCATGGTGGTTATAAAACGTGGATCTGCAGAGAAAATTTTTTGTCATAGGCTGTTATATCGAACTTCACGAACTTCAAATGCGAAATTTGAAACAATTCCGATAAATAATGTCGCTAAAATCATCAAAATACCGAATATCGGGGTGTACCGTTATATGGGGGCTATACGAAGACGTGGACCTGCACAGACAATTTTCTGTCATAGGCTGTAGTATTCATTACGAACTTCAAATGCGAAATTTGAAACAATTCCGGTAAATAGGTTCGCTAAAATCATGAAAATACAGAAGATCGGGGGTACCGTTATATGGGAGCTATACGAAGGCGTGGTCCTGCACAGACAATTTTCTGTGATAGGCTGTAGCATCCATTACGAACTTCAAATACTAAATTTGAAATAGTTCCGGTAAATAATGTCGCTTAAATCATCAAAATACTGAATATTGGGGGGTACCGTTATATGGGGGCTATACGAAAATGTAGACCTACATTGCCCATTTTCTGTTTTATGCTGTAGTATCTATTGAAAACTTTAAATACCAAATTTGAAATAATTCCGGTAAATAATGTAGCTAAAATCATCAAAATACCGAATATCGGGAGGTACAGTTATATGGGAGCTATCCGAAGACGTGGACCTATATGGCCCATTTTCATTACCAAAAGTCCTGCAGACATAGTACACATTTGAGTAAAATTTTATCAACCTACTTCATTTCGTTCGGAAGCTAGAGTGATTTCCACAGACGGACAGACGGACGGACATTCATAAATTGACATAGAATTTTATGCTGATCAAGAATATATATACTTTGTGGGGTCTAAAATGTATATTTCGAGGTGTTACAAACGGAATGACAAACTTAATATACCCTCCATACTATAGTGGAGGGTATAAAAAACAAGTAGAAAAGTATCGGTCGGTTTTGCCGACAGATAGGGTATACATCTGCCAATGTTCGATTATTTAAAAATATTTTGACTTCTGTTATGAATTTTCAAACTCTTGACCCTCTATGGAGTGGGTTTTGAAAGAACGGGTCAATATTGTCCATTTCCTATCGTACCTAAATAAATACGATATAAATATATAAGAAAATCGAACATTTATATCCAATTTATGGGAAATCCATATTCATCTCAGGATTCGAGTTGAGAAATATATATTTAGATATAGCAAGTTGTAAAGAATCGCTGAGTTGCTTCGAAATTTACGACAGCTAAAAGTATTGAAAATTGTGTCCTTTTGTGGGTGAGGTACCAGTAGGGGCTCACAGATTATAGCATCTTCACAACAGATCTTGTGTTAGCAAAAGTGTCTGTATGTGTGAAATTTGAAGAGATTTAGTTGCTTATTTCGTTTTTTTTTTTTGAGCGTTTTGTTTTTCAAAATCTTGAGCCCTATGTGGAGGAGGTAGCAGAAGAAATGGTACCATCTTTATAACAGATCTTGTATTGATGGAAATATCTGATATCTGGTATCAAATACCACTTGTGTGGAGTGCACATTACGAATGTGAAGGACTTAAACACCAAATCGGATGAAATATATAGGGTGAGATAAAAAAACTGCAACAAAGTCAAAAGCTATAATTTTTACATTTTTTTTTTTAATTTATTGAATGAAAATATCGGAAATAGAATCAAATTTTAGAATAAATTTAGATTTGTTCGAATTGGTTACCTTTAGCACAAATTATGACCTTCAAACGGGCAAAGAAACCGTCACACGCTGCCCGAATGTTGCTCTGCGGTATTTTGGTCCATGCCCGGCGAAGCGCTTGTTTGAGGTGATCACTTTTTAAAGCTTGAATTATTGAATATTTTAAAATGGCCATAACTCCTTAAATATTAAGCTTTCGGTGTTTTTAGCTATTATTTGTAAAGCTTGATTATTTCTGATCACTTTTTAAAGCTTGAATTATTGAATATTTTAAAATGGACATAACTCCTTAAATATTGAGTTTTCTGTATTTGGTATTTTTTAGTGCAAGCCTTGCATTCCAAAATACTCCAGACACAATAGTCCAACGGATTGGTATCCGGAGATTTTGGTAGCCATTTTGCGCAGGAAATGAAGCGAGGACCTCATTTTGTAACCATTCTTGGGTGGCGCGTGCTGAGTGCGATGGTTCTGAGTCCTGTTGGAATGTCCAATGTCTGCGACCAAAATGTTTGTGTGCCCAAGGCTTTAATACACCCTCCAGAATATTTTTGCGATAATATTCAGCATTTATTCTGATGCCACGGCCGATTAATACGAGCGGAGAGCGACCATCGGCTGTTATAGAGGCCCACACCATCACCATGGCCGGCGCTTGAGATCTGGTGGCCAACCGAAGGTGCATATTTTCAGCTGTACTTTTTAACAAGTAAACACGATCATTTTGTTTGTTTACAAACTGCTGGACAACGAATGTTTTCTTATAGGAGGAAACCAAAGTCGGGTTTGTGGGGTATACAATTTTTGTTTCGAGGTGTTACAAACGGAATGACAAACTAAAAATACCAACATACTATAGTGGAGAAATTTCAAAAATTCGCATTTGTATAAAAGCTGTACGTTTTTGTATGCCCTCAGCCATGTGGTTAGTGTGGGTATATATCATTTGGTATGGCCTAACCGTTCCTAATCGAAATAACGGTTTAAAAATCTAGGTCTCTTCGGACCAAATCGATTTCAGACAATATGGAGCTACTGCGCGCCATAACTCTCGAAGGGGGTTTCCGATTTGGTCCAAACTTGGTACATCGCAATATTACTAACAAACTTAGATCGAGTTCGAGGAGGGGCAAAATTGGTCCACTCCTAGTGGATCTTTCCCACAAAAGGCGACATTTTTGAAGAAAAAAACTTACTGCACAGAAAGAGAAAGGATAATGCGATTTGCCCCAACTTTTGAAGTCCTAATATTTGCATCAAACCTATGCCAGTCCCGGAATCAAAAACGACAGATTTATACACCCAGCCAATGTTCGATTATTTATATATATTTTGACTTCAGTTATAATGGAATAGGTTCAGAAGGAATGAGCCAATATTGTCCATTTCGCATCGGACCTAAATAAATATGATATAAATATTGCGACGTGCCAGGTTTGGATTATATTGGTAACTTCCTTCACGTTACATGACATATGTGATAATTTTTGGAAAATTTGAGTAGTCGAACAAAGTATTCCATCTTCACATTTCATCTAATACTGATAAAAATACTGATATGGGCAAAATTACAAGAAAATCTAACATTCATATCCATGTTCAACTCAGGTTTCTGATTGAGAGTATGGTGACAGAGAAAAATATTGCAAATTGTGACCCTTAGAGGATAAGATACCAAAAGGGGTTCATTTCTTCAAAACAGATATTGTGGTAGTATGTGTGAAAATTGATAAGAGTTGGATGCCTATTTCGATTTCTTTGAGCGTTTTGTTTTTTCAAAATCATAAACTTATTGTGGGAGAGGTACGAGAAGAAATGGTCCTTCCTCTACCACCTACCGTTCGATATGCGGTCTCATTTCATATCTCATATACCTTGACTCAGTTAAGCCGAAAATATACTCCTTATTTCCAACTTAATTTTATAGGCTGATAAAACTTCGTCGTTTATAATTATAGATTGAAAAAATCCGTGCACCCTGTTGGGCATTGCCAATCGATAAGTTTTATTTAATCAAATAACTCACTTATTAAATCAATATTTTGTTTTGGATTTCCTTTCGGTGGGGGGAGATTATTTGCAAATTTTCACTGTATCGCTGCCCAGATTATTGTTTAGTTCGTTATCATCGATTATCGTTGTTCTTTCTATTGACTTTGATTTATATTTGTTATTTTTTGTGTGGAAAGACAAAAAAACAGTTTATGATAATATGACCACTGCTGGCTGTGCCACTGCGAGCGACCAAAGTTTTCATTTTAGTGGATAATAAATGACATAATTGAGTCGTTGATCGAACCTCCACTCAGGCGGTAGTGGAACGGTAGTTGCATTTAAAGGATATTAGAAACAATTCAAAAAAAATGACTGCGGATATAGAAAAGGGTAAAATATTAAAAAAATGCTCAATAGTGAGAAAGTGAAAAAATAAAGATTTGTTATGAGAAGTGAAAAAATAAGAAACGAAGAGAAAAATGATAAAAATAATATTACCAAAAATATAATACTAAATTTAAATAAGATTGAAGAAAAACCAATGAAGTAACAATATGGCATCGATCGCAAACAAAAACAATAAATGTTACATAACTTTGATAAATTTCAAAATAGTTTCTTTTGAAACACTTAATCAGTTGAATTCTGAAAAAAAAAAAAACACTTTGGTCACACACGCGGTCTTCTTGGTCCTTTTTTTTCAAAATGTGGTTGAAAATTACCTTTAAACGGGAGGCATATTAAACGAAATTACAACCAACAACCAAAGAAAAGCAATGTCAGTTTCCATTATAAAGAACTTAATGGAATGTGTTCCCAATTTTTTATACCCTCAGCCATATGGCTACAGAAAGAATATATCATATGATACGGCCATAACATGCCCTATAAAAATGAAGATTTTAAATCATAGGCCTCTTTGAACGAAATCCGTTTAAGGACAATTATGATCGATTTAAAAAAGGATGTTCCAATTTAATATAAAATTTGCAAATCCCAACCCAGTTCTATGTTAGGTGGGAAAATGGAAAATATTGGCCCAATCCATCAAGTGCTTCCCTCACAAGGGGTCAGAGTTTTGAATAATTATAACTCATACAAAACGTGAAACAAGAATCCAATGCGCCTAAAATTTCACACATCTCACTATTGCCGCCAACACTGTGAAGATGATAGATATTGACACATCCCTTTTTGAACCTCCACCACGAAGGGTCACCATTTCAACACTTACATCTCATAATGTGAGGAGAAAGTTAGCGATTCTTTCCAATGTTGGTATATCCATGGTACAATAAGGAGGTAGCTTACAGCTTCGTAAAACTACAGAAATACAGCTCTGAGCATGGTACAATGAAGAGAAGGTAGGTCAGTTTTGAAAAAAATTCAAGTATAGATGTCTACCTGTTTGGCTTGTAATGTCAAAATTAGTATCAAAACAATAAAAAATCAAACAACTTGTTTCATTTATTTTGAGTAAATAATTGAAAACCGCGATAATTGAATGAAAGGTCAACACTTATTTTCAAAATCATGTACTATATATCTCTAAAGGATTATTTCGCTACAAAAACTCTAGATTTTTTCGATGCATACGTTGAAATAAACATTTTGAAAACAGCCGAATTTGAATATTTTCGGAACAATTTTTTTCTTATTGAAAAGAAAACACATACATAAACAAATAAAGATGACATATTAAGCCAAGAAAATAAAAAAATTAAAATCATATGGTATCGTAGCCCTACCTTGATATCATTGTACCATGGCCCTGAGGCTATGCCCGCTTCCTGTCGGACTCATTCAAAATTGTTGTTGTTTTAATTTTTTCATATTTTTCCTAATTTTTAAATTGAGTTAAATATCACGAAAAATTAGCAAAATGCCTGAATTTTCTCCCAAAAACATGATCCAATCTGTTCAATCTTTCAATTTCGTGGCTAAACGGGTTAATAGCTTTAATGCGCGAGACGCAATGTACGTGTCTTCCAATCAATGGTTTTGAAAATACTTTGTTTTCATTTTTCAAAACAATAAATACATACACGAAATTGGCAGAAGTCGGGCACAATTAGAAAAAAATGTAATCAGCTGGGAGCTCTACCTTACCTTTTTATTGTACCATGGGTATATCCATGGTACAATGATATCAAGGTAGGGCTATGATACCATATGATTTTAATTTTTTTATTTTCTTGGCTTAATATGTCATCTTTATTTGTGTATGTATGTGTTTTCTTTTCAATAACAAAAAAAAATGTTCAGAAAATATTCAAGTTCGGCTGTTTTCAAAATGTTTATTTCAACGTATGCATCGACAAAATCTAGTTTTTGTAGCGAAATAATCCTTTTTGAGATACATAGTCCATGATTTTGAAAAGAAGTGTTGACCTTTCATTCAGTTATCGCGTTTTTCAATTATTTATTCAAAATAAATGCAACAAGTTGTTTGATTTTTAATTGTTTTGATACTAATTCTGACATTACAAGCCTCTAGAGACCTCTATACTTACAATTTTTTCAAAGTTGGCCTACCTTCTCTTCGTTGTACCATGGGTATATCCATATATTTCTCTCATTTGCACTTCACAATATTTTTAATCAGTGTAAGATGAAGTGTGAAAATTGAACATTTCGGTCCAATACATCTAGTACCTCCCGCACATTTCATATATCTCACGTAAAGTGAAGGAAGACTAAGGTCAGATAAGAAATGTACAAAATTGACCCACTCCGGTAGTTGGAATAATCACGGACATTGACTTTTTAGCCTATTAATTTTTTTAGTTTTTTTGCTCTACACCACATAGTGGTAAGGGGAAAATGGGTTCAGATACAGCAATGGCTCGCATATATATGTTTCATCCGATTTGGAGGGTTTGAGTCCCTCACATGCTAAATATGCACTCTACAACAATGATCTATGGTACCCGATATCAGATACAGCTCAGAAATACATCTATAAAATTCTATGGAGATCGGATCAGATTCGGACATAGCACCCATACATATCTTTATCCGATATCAGGTTTATTGTGCACCAAATTGCTAATATCAGCCAAAATGAACTTAATATTGATAATTCCGATTGAATTCATCCAAGAAGAAAGTATTTCAAATTTGGTGAAAATCTGGTCAAATATAGTTATAGCTCCCATATATATGTTTCATCCGATTTAGTGTTAAAATCCCTCAAATGCGTAATATGCACTCCTCAACAATGATATTTTATAAAGAGCATCAGATATTACTTAAAAATACCTCTGCTAAATATTATCGAGATCGGTTCAGGTTTTTATGTAGCTTCGATATACATATATATATTATCTGATTATACGGTTATTGTTCATTATATATGTAATATACGAATAGGTTTTTTTCATATTCAACAGAATTTTATCATTTGGCGAATCTCGGTCTGGTATATCTATTGCTCCAAGAAATATTTTTATACCCTGCAACACTAGATGTGTTGGCGGTTTTATAAGTATAATAACACCTCCAAATATTGGTTTCCCACATAGGAAAGTATATATGGAACTTCCTATCTCCCAGATCTATGCCGAAATTAACAAAGGAGATGGGGCTAGGGCCAAAATAGAAGCCTATTGCTTTTGGAGATGATCGCATAATATTTAGGGGTTAAAATGGAACAAAACCTGAAAAATTTCCTGATTTTTCAGTTGCTCTACAGGTCGCAATAATGGATCAATCGACGCGGAAGTTAGCATAAGGCTAGAGCTTCGGGCTGGGCAGAAGTCTTCCAATTTTGATGGTCATCGGATAATATTTAGTGGGTGAAATAAACCATAACTTTTGTGTTATATAAATTTCAAAATTTCTATTAAACCGAGAATAGAATAGAAACCCGGCGAAATCACAAATAGACGAACAGGTCAATTATGGCCGTTACGTACATGCCGATAGTAAACATATCGGATGTATATAGCGAAATATATACAATGAAGGGGATGTTAGCTAGAATGCTTATACCTCAAGAATGGCTGGACCGATTTTGACAAATTTTGTGAATTTAGAATGCCCTATCGGCATAAAAGTATAAAATCTAAAAAAAAAATCGCGTAAAAATATGCCAATAATGATCTTAATATAGATTTTGAAGTATTTTGTGACATTTTTATATTTTTTCATATTTTTTTATCGCATGCGATTTTTGACTTACAATATTGAAGTGCACATTTTGTAATATTTTTTCACCTAACAACACAGGTTGGGGTTATTTTATACAGATTGCAAAAATCGTCCGATTTTCACAAAAATTTTCCCAAGGGCAGGGTTAGGCTCAAAAGGGCTAGGCCTATTGCTTTCAAAGATGTCCCAACAATTAAAAATGTTCCTGATTTTGCATTTGTCGAATATAGCCTAATATCGTAGACAAGCAAATCATATAGATGAGTCTAAATTTTGGAGATAAACAGGTGCCTCTCGTTTTTGGAGATGATCGCAAAATAGTTAGGGGTTCAAATGAACCAAAAACATAAACAGTTTCCTGATCGCACAATTTAAACCAATCGACAAGTCTGAGAAGTGAGTTAAGGACAGGGAAGAATTCTAGAATTTTGGATGACCTTTGGATTATATTTAGCTGTAAAATGACCACAACAATCAACAATATTGGGCAAATGTCCCTGGTGAAAATTATAAGGGTAATATCTGGGCAGTGCTCCGTCGCAGAATTTTAAAAGCGAAATCTTCCAAAATGGATTTGGACATAAGTGGGCTTCTAACATATTGTAGTGTTTTAGGGTATCACATGGTCGGCCCGACATGACTATAGCCTTTGCTTACTTGTTTAATATAATCCTTATCGAGGTTATATCATGCACTACACAGCAATGTTGTTTGGTACTAAAGGGCAAGAGCCTCCGTCAAAATCGATTCAGAGTTGGACTACTCTAAAGCCATAAGCATTTAAATAAGGATCATCGTTTTTATGATCTACTTCACATAAATTCCCAATAAAAACGTTTTTGTTACGGGAGCTCTACTAAACACACATAGTGGTGTGGGATATCATATAGTCAGCCCCGCCTGACTTTTAATCTTTCCTTACTGGTTTATATATGTGTATCGATTGGATAAAATTTACTTCACGAAACATTATTAATACTGGTCTAAGATTCCATAATTGTATCATATGGTGGCACCAGCTATTTTTAAGGTGTGTTTTATGTCCTGATAACATTTTTCCCGATCGTAGTGACTATAATTAAATATTTAGAATTCTAAATTTGTAGAAAAAAAACCATATCCTTGTAAATATTTTTCATGCCGATAGAGATTTTGGAATTTCTGTTGATCGGTTTGGCCTTCAATCATGGGTATTGTGAAAGTTCTAACCATTGAACTAACTACAAATTAATATTTTTACACGTTATGGTATCTGACCCTTTTTCTGATTTAAGATAACTGATTTCAAAATAATTCAAATTTTGATATGGTGAAGGTCTTGAAATGATCGGCTCGGCCAAAATAAAATAATATCTTTACCAGTTTTTTTATTGAATTCAATTTTTGTATATTAAAATAGGACCTATTTTGGGCCAACGACACCTGCAGGTGTTCCTGCTCTTCCTTGCCATTACCGTGAATTATATTGCTAAATTTAATGCTGGAGTAGCGGTGGTTGCCATGACAAATGCAGAAACAACAAATCCAGATTTTCCGGTAAGTAAAAATAATAGGAAAACCCTCAGATATAATTTAAGAGGAGTTCCAAAGATTATTCTAATATACATATATTCAAAATGTTCTTAATAAATAGAAGACCTTCAAGACACTTCTTCGATGTTTCTGAAATACTATTGGAAGCCTTCAGAAGATCTACTGTAAAAAACTCTTGATTAATCTTTCAAAGAAAGCCTTCTATTTTTGAAGGCTATCTTGAATATATGTCAAACATAGAAGCTTTTTTGAAGGACTTGCATTTCGAAAAAATCTGTTGACGTTTATACAGCTATATTTTGGATGTCTTCGCTGTATAAATGCTTTTGAAAGGTCTCCTATTTATGGAAAACCTTCGGAAAGTCTTCTTTCTTTTAATACTCCTTGAAGGTTTTTTTTTTTCATTGAAGATCTATGGAAGGATGTATTTTTATACCCTACAACACTATGTGTTGGGGGTATTATAAGTTTGATTGGGCCAAAAATTATGTAACACCTCGAAATATTGGTTTCCCACATAGGAAAGTATATATGGATCTTCCTAGCTCGCCGAGCTGAGTCGATCTAGCTATGTATGTCCGTCCGTCCGTCTGTCCGTCTGTCCGTCTGTCCATGTTAATTTGTAATCACTCTACAGGTCGCAATTATGGCCCGATCTTCACGAAATTTAGAATGTAGGTGGGGCTTGGACCAGAATAGAACCCTATTGCTTTTGGAGATGATCGCCAAATGTTTAGGGGTTTAAATGGACCAAATACTGAAAAAATTTCGGATTTTGCAGTAGCTATACAGGCCGCAATTATAGACCAATCGACGCGAAATTTCGCATGTAGATAAAGTTTAGGGCGGGAAAGAAGCCTACTAATTTGGGTGGTCATCGGATAATATTTAGCGGGTAAAATAGACCATATCTTTTGTGTTGAAAAAAATCAAAATTTTTCATTAAACCGTGAATATTTTAAATCCCGGCGAAATCACAAAGCTATCCCAAGGTTACTTCTGACCTTTACATTGATGTTATTATCCAACAAATCGGATATATAGCAAAATATGTGCGATATATATGCCTATCAAAGGAGATATGCTTGAAAGATCTCTTATATGTCGAGAACGGCTGAACTGATTTCGACAGTTCTCATTAATTCAGAATGGCCTCTTGGCAGGAAAGAAAAAACGTCTAAAAAATCGCATAAACATATCTCTCTAAAGATGAAAATATTGATTTTGTAAAATTTTCTCACATTTTTTCAATTTTGTCATATTTTTGGCATATTTTCATTTTGAATTAAAAATTTGGTAATATTTCTACATCTAACAAAACTAAGTAGTTAGGATATCAGGATATCATATACAGATCTCATTTAAGGCCCGATCCTTACGAAATTTTGCATGGGGATAAGATGAGGGTCAGAATAGAAGCCTACTCATTTTGGAGATGATCGCCATATATTTAGGGGTTGAAATGGAGCAAAAAACTGCAAAATTGTCGGCAGGTCGTAATTATCGCCCGATCCTCACACACATTTGAATGGGGGTTACCGGGCATTGCAAAAGCCAAGCAGTTTCGGATGACCATCCAAAAATATTCAATGTGTGAAATAGTTTGCCAACTTTTGTAGACAAAATACGAAAAGGTCCATTCCAGTGACTTTTTGGAGAATTCACAAATACAGGAAAGACACACTTCTCACTATTTCGTTAACGCTGATTTCGTTGAAGAATATAGTCAAATGTCTGTATCTCATATTGATGCGTTTCATTCAAAAAAAAAAAAAAAAAAAAAAAAAAAAAAAAAAATAATAAATGTTAATCTTTTGCCACTTCTGAAAGGTTATAGGTCTTTGGGAAATATTGGTTCCAGATCTAGGAAGACCATTTACGTGCAACATCTACCAATAAATTGGAAATGAGCAAATTAGTTAAAGTTTCTATTATTCGAAAATTAGAGAACGAAATCTGGTGGTTTTCTTTTATTATTTGTCACAATATCTTGTGGAATTCTTTCGAGTATCTCGCCTATGTAAACAGTATCGTTTATTATAGTGTTGTAGGGTATTCAACGGTCGGCCCCGCTCGACTGTAGCCTTTGCTTACTTGTTATGGTATATTTTTATACCCTACAACACTATGTGTTGGGGGTATTATAAGTTTGATTGGGCCAGAATTTATGTAACACCTCGAAATATTGGTTTCCCATATAGGAAAATATATATGGATCTTCCTAGCTCGCCGAGCTGAGTCGATCTAGCTATGTATGTCCGTCCGTCCGTCTGTCCGTCTGTCCATGTTAATTTGTAATCACTCTACAGGTCGCAATTATGGCCCGATCTTCACGAAATTTAGAATGGAGGTGGGGCTAGGGTCAGAATAGAACCCTATTTCTTTTGGAGATGATCGCCAAATGTTTAGGGGTTGAAATGGACCAAATACTGAAAAAATGTCGGATTTTGCAGTAGCTATACAGGTCGCAATTATAGACCAATCGACGCGGAATTGCGCATGTAGCTAGAGTTTAGGGCGGGGAAGAAACCTACCAATTTGGGTGGTCATCGGATAATATTTAGCGGGTAAAATAGACCATATCTTTTGTGTTGAAAAAATTCAAAATTTTTCTTTAAACCGTGAATTTTTTAAATCCCGGCAAAATCAGAAAGCCTTGACAAGGTTACTTCTGATCTTTACATTGATGTTAACATCCAACGAAACGGATATATAGCAAAATATGTGCGATATATATGTCTATCAAAGAAGATATGCTTGAAAGATCTCTTATATGTCGAGAACGGCTGAACTGATTTCGACAGTTCTCATTAATTCAGAATGGCCTCTTGGCAGGAAAGAAACAACGTCTAAAAAATCGCATAAAAATATCTCTCTAAAGACGAAAATATTGATTTTCTAACATTTTCTCATATTTTTTTCAATTTTGTCACATTTTTGGCATATTTTCATTTTGAATTAAACATTTGGTAATATTTCTACAGCTAACAAAACTAAGTAGTTAGGATATCAGGATATCATTTACAGATCGCATTTATGGTCCGATCCTAACCAAATTTTGCATGGGGATCAGATGAGGGTCAGAATAGAAGCCTACTCTTTTTGGAGATGATCGCCATATATTTAGGGGTTGAAATGGACCAAAAAACTGCACGCACATTTAAATGGGGGTTACCAGACATTGCAAAAGCCAAGCAGTTTTAGATGGCCATCCAAAAATATTCAATGTGTGAAATAGTTTGCCAACTTTTGTAGACAAAATACGAAAATGTCCATTCCAGTGACTTTTTGGAGAATTCGCAAATACAGAAAAGACGCACTTCTGACTATTTCGTTAACTCTGATTTCGTTGAAGAATATAATCAAATGTCTGTATCTCATATAGATGCGTTTCAGTCAAAAACAAATAATAAATGTTAATCTTTTGCCACTTCTGAGAGATTATAGGTCTTTGGGAAATATTGGTTCCAGATCTAGGAAGACCGTTTATGTGCAACATCTACCAATAAATTGGAAATGAGCAAATTAGTTTAAGTTGGTATTATTCGAAAATTAGAGAACGAAACCTGGTGGTTTTCTTTTATTATTTTTCACAATATCTTGTGGAATTCTTTCGAGTATCTCGCCTATATAAACTGTATCGTTTATTATAGTGTTGTAGGGTATTCAACGGTCGGCCCCGCTCGACTGTAGCCTTTGCTTACTTGTTTTTTTTGAGTTCTATATACTTCTCTTCCCTTGTGAGGAGGATTTTCAGGAGTCATCAATAATTAATTTTTATACCCTACACCACAAGGTGGTCAGGGAATTATGTCTTTGTGCATTTGTTGTAACAGGCAAAAGTAAACGAGATAGACCCATAGTTCTTTTTGATGATCTGCATAGAATCACATTCTAAGTCCATTTATGCACGTCCGTCCATCTGTCCATGTAATTTGTAAACAAAATACAGGTCGCATTTATTGCCCGATCCAGATGAAATGTTGCACAAATCATTTGTTTGGCCCAAGGACGAACACTATTGAAACCCTAAGATAATCGGTCAAAATTTAGATATAGCTCCCATATATATCTACGTCCGATTTGCCTTTTATTGTGCAACAACGTGTAATATCAGCCCGAATTGTATGGAATTTTGAATATACACCCAAATTAAGCCTAACAATAAGTATGCCAAATTTGATCGAAATCGGTTCAGATATAGCTATAGCTCCCATATATATTGTTCATCCGATTTGTTATATTTGTTACCCACAACCGTAATATGCACTCCGTAACAACGATATTCAGGGAAATATATCAAATACAGCTCAGAAATATTTTTGCCAAATTTTATCGAGATCGGTTCAGATTTGGATATAGCTCCCATATACATTTTTATCCGATTTTAAATTATTTGTGCACCAAATGGGCAACACAAGTCCGAATTCAAAAGATACAAATGCTTCGGCATATTTAGTCCTCTGAACTTTAAATTAAAATTATAATCATAGCGTGTAAGATTAAATTCTCTCACAAAAACTTTTAATTGTTATGTGGAGCTCTACTAAATTAGCAAAGTGGTGTAGGGTATCATAAAGTCGGCTCGCCCGACGTTAAGACTTTCTTTACTGGTTTTTATTATTTTTTATATTTTTCAGGAATACGATTGGAATGAAATGGAAAAATCCTACATCCTGTCGAGTTTCTTTTGGGGTTACTTTGTGACACAATTTCCCGGTGGCTATTTGTGTCGGCGATTTGGTGCCAAAGTGACAATGTTCGTTTCGACGTTGGGCTCCGCCTTGGGGGCTCTGCTTATACCATTCACCGTGGACTGGGGTGGCTGGCAGGTGTATTGTGGCATTCGTGTTGTACAGGGTCTATTCCAAGGACTGCTATTTCCCTGTATTCATGCTCACCTGGCCGCCTGGTGTCCGGTGAGCGAAAGAAATCGTTTGGGAGCCCTAGCCAATACGGGCATTGAGTGTGGCACTGTCCTGGCAATGTTTTTAAGTGGCATCATAGCTGCCTCCAGCATGGGATGGCCGGGTATTTCTTATATATCCTGCGGTGTTGGTGTTGTATGGTGTATTTTGTGGATTGTATTTGCCGCCAATAGCCCCAGCGAATCGAAATTAATTTCCGAAGCCGAATGCAATTACATTGAAAGTTCCAAGAATGCCCTGAAGGAGGTGGATGCACGTGACACACCGAAAAAGATTCCTGTGCCATGGGCGGCTATTATGAGCTCATGGCCGTTCTGGGCGTTGCTGGTTGCCAGATCTGCCCAATCGTGGGGTTTCTCAACGCTACAAGCTGAGATTCCTTCCTATATGAATGGTGTCCTGGGCATGGATATGAAGAGTAATGCCTTGTTTTCGGCCCTACCCTATTTTGCCATGTGGTGTATGTCGTACATCTATTTGATTTTATCGGATGTTTTATTGCAAAAGGAAATTTTGAGCCTAAATGGAATTAGGAAAACTTTCAACTCCTTGGCATTTTGGGTACCAGCAGTTGGTCTAATAGCTGTGGGATTTGTGGGCGAAAGCCAACAAACATTGGCCATTGTTTTGATGACAGCTAATGTGGGTATCAATGCGGGTTCCACCATTGGTAGTGCCTTGAACACCATTGATTTGTCGCCCAATCATGCTGGCATTCTAATGGGTATTGTCAATACATCGGCCAATATTATACCAATTTTGACACCGCTGCTGGTGGGATTGATTGTGAAGAATGAGGTAAGTAACAGATGAAGAATTTGATGAGGTACAACAAAGTAATGCTTCTTCATTTTGGTTTCTAGGAGGATCGCACAGAATGGCAAATAGTCTTTGCCATTTCGGCCATTGTCTTTGGTTTGGGCAACTTGTTCTACATTGTCTTTGGATCCACAAAACTGCAGCCATGGGATGATGAAAATTTCCTCCTTTCGAAAGATATACAAAATGAAGACTGTGTTGATAACAAATCGACGGAAACGAAAGAAAAGTATTAAATTATTTATTATTTAAGATTATATTAGACATATAAGTCATATGATATGTTAAAGTATTATAAGTAGTTTTTAGATATACGGCTTTTTATTTTATTAAACAACAACAAGTAAAAAAGCAGTAAATTCGGCCGGGCCGAACTTTGAATACCCTCCACCATTTGAAACTAATTTGAAAATTTTCAAAAAAATAAATTCCATTAAAAATTCAGTTAAAATCTTTAAAATACCTAATATCGAAAGGTGCCGATATATGAGGGATATAGGAAATTGTGGATCTATATAGACAAATCTATATCTGGGGGCAAAGTACTCACAAAGAACTCTTTGTGTAAAATTTCAGACAGTACCGTTGAAAAATGTATCTAAAATCGTCAAAATACCGAATATCGGGGTGTACCGTTATATGGAGGATATAGATATCGTGGACCTATATAGACAATTCTCTTCCAGGGGGTAAAGTACTCGCAAGGAACTACTTGTGTGGATTTTCAGACAATTCTATTCAAAAATATGGCTAACATTATCAAAATACCGAATATCGGGGGTACCGTTATATGGGGGCTATACGATATTGTGAACCGAATATTTATAGATTATAATTTTATACAGAGTTACGCCTAAGAACAATATCATCGTAGAACAATTAAAAAAAGTGTAAAAGTCTTGATTTCTTGTATAAGTTCTGCATTTTTATTTTACCCCGAAAGTCCTTCAGATATATCGATATGATAATTTTATTGATGTGCCTGATTTGTGACAAATTAAATCCGTCGCCAGTACTCCAACTTATATAAATCCAATGTTCTTATGTGATATCTTTTCGCCCAGATTGTTGTTCATCGGAACTGCATTCATTCATATCATCTCCACATTTGGGCAACAAATAGTTCGGATCATTCCAGGGTTGGGCATCCGTTGAGCCCCAAATTAGATAAATTATATTACCCACGAAATATATCAAAGCACAAATGATAAACAGAATTTGCCACTGTCTATCATCGGACTAAAATAGATAAGTAAATGTTAGGTTAGATTTTAACAGCCCTGAAAATGTAGATAACATTTTACTTACATCATCGTGTACGACGGCAGCCATTACCAGAGGATTTAACATAGGCATTATACTACCAGCCGCATTTAGAATGCTCATCAAAATATCGGTGTGATTTGGTGACAGGTCGATGACATTTAAACCGCTGCCAATCATATTACCCGCATTAACGCCCACAATGACAATCATCAAAATTCCGGCAATAATCTGTTGATGGGGCTTTAGAAAACCAATGCCTATCAGACATATGGCTGGTATCCAAAATGCAATGGAGTTAAAAGTTTTTCTCACAGCATTCAGCGATAATATTTTATAATTTATCAAAAGATCCGCCAGTATCAAATATACATAGGACATTACCCACAGGAGGATATAGGGCAAGGCCGAGTAGAGCGTATTATTTTTCATATCCATACCAAACACACCATTCATGTATTCAGGCAAGGCTGCTTGAACTGCGGTGAAGGACCAGGCCTCCGAACATCGTGCCACAATTAAAGCCCAAAAGGCTGGTGATAATATAATAGCTTTCCAGGGTATGGGTATTGATTTTTTGCTACCCTCCACAGTTTCTTTTTTCGATATTTGAATATAAGTTTTTTCTTCGAGCGATATATACTTTGAAGTATTTGGTGAGCTGGCACCAAATATTATCCATAAGAGACACCAAATAAGTCCAATACCACAGAATATATAGGAAATTCCTGGCCAACCAAGTGCTGATATGGCTATAAGGCCACTAAGTAACATGGCCATCAGTGTGCCACATTCATTACCCGAAAATGCCAATGCACCCAGACGATTCCTTTCCTCCACCGGGCACCAATTGGCTAAAAGTGCATAGGCGCCAGATAAATCCAAGCCCTGGAACACACCTTGTACTACTCGCACAGCACAAAATATTTGCCAATCGCCAAATTTCAAGGTGATGGGTAATATCAGCCCCACCAAAGATGAACCAAATATTGCCGTAAACAAAGTGACTTTTTCACCAAAACGCTTACAATAATAGCCTGCAAACAGTTGTGTAAAGAGATAACCCCAAAAGAAACTGGACAATATGTAGGATTTTTCCGATTCGTTCCAATTATATTGCTGAAAATAAAAGTCAATACTAATATATAACAAGTAAACAAAGGCTATAGTCGTGCGGGGCCGATACCCTACAACACAACAATATGTGAGAAGCCCCCCTCATGTCCAAATCCATTTTGGAAGAATTCGCTTTTGAAATTATGTCACGGAACACTGCCCAGATATTACCCTTAGCATTTTGACCAGGTACATTTTCCCAATATTTGTGCACTCCGTTGTGCTGTTAGTTTTTGTGGTCCATTTTAGGGCTAAATATAATCCAATGGTCATCCAAAATGCCAGAATTCTTCCCTGTGCTTAACTATCTTCTCAGGCGTGTCGATTGGCTTCAATTGTGTGATCAGGATTTTTTTCTTCTTTTTGTTCATTTGAACCCCTAAATATTTTGGGATCATCTCCAAAAGCAATTTGGCTATATTTGTCAACGAAATCAGCATAAACAAGTAAGCAAAGGCTACAGTCGAGCGGGGCCGACCGTTGAATACCCTACAACACTATAATAAACGATACAGTTTATATAGGCGAGATACTCGAAAGAATTCCACAAGATATTGTGACAAATAATAAAAGAAAACCATCAGGTTTCGTTCTCTAATTTTCGAATAATAGCAACTTTAACTAATTTGCTCATTTCCAATTTATTGGTAGATGTTGCACGTAAATGGTCTTCCTAGATTTGTAACCAATATTTCCCAAAGACCTATAATCTCTAAGAAGTGGCAAAAGATTAACATTTATTATTGGTTTTTCACTGAAACGCATCTATATAAGATACAGACATTTGACTATATTCTTCAACAATATCAGCGTTAACGAAATAGTCAGAAGTGCGTCTTTCCTATATTTGTGAATTCTCCAAAAAGTCTCTGGAATGGACATTTTCGTATTTAGTCTACAAAAGTTGACAAACTATTCCACACATTGAATATTTTTGGATGGCCATCCGAAACTGCTTGGCTTTTGCAATGTAACCCCCATTCAAATGTGCGTGAGGATCGGGCGATAATTACGACCTGCTGACAATTTGGCAGTTTTTTGGTCCATTTCAACCCCTATATATATAGCGATCATCTCCAAAAAGAGTAGGCATCTATTCTGACCCTCATCTTATCCCCATGCAAAATTTCGTAAGGATCGGCCCATAAATGCGATCTGTATATGATATCCTGATATCCTAACTACTTAGTTTTGTTAGCTGTAAAAATATTACCAAATGTTTGATTCAAAATGAAAATATGCCAAAAATATGACAAAATTGAAAAAATATGAGAAAATTTTACAAAATCAATATTTTCATCTTTAGAGAGATATTTTTATGCGATTTTTTTAGACGTTTTTTCTTTCCTGCCAAGAGGCCATTCTGAATTAATGAGAACTGTCGAAATCAGTTCAGCCGTTCTCGACATATAAGAGATCTTTCAAGCATATCTTCTTTGATAGACATATATATCGCACATATTTTGCTATATATCCGATTTGTTGGATGTTAACATCAATGTAAAGATCAGAAGTAACCTTGTCATGGCTTTGTGATTTCGCCGGGATTTAAAATATTCGCGGTTTAATGAAAAATTTTGAATTTTTTCAACTCAAAAAATATGGTATATTTTACCCGCTAAATATTATCCGATGACCACCCAAATTGGTAGGCTTCTTCCCCGCCCTAAACTCTAGCTACATGCGAAATTCCGCGTCGATTGGTCTATAATTGCGACCTGTATAGCTACTGCAAAATCCGATATTTTTCAGTTTTTGGTCTATTTCGACCCCTAAATATTATGCGATCATCTCCAAAAGAAATAGGGTTCTATTCTGACCCTAGCCCCACCTCCATTCTAAATTTCGTGAAAATCGGGCCATAATTGCGACCTGTAGAGTGATTACAAATTAACATGGACAGACGGACGGACCGACATATATAGCTAGATCGACTCAACTCGGCGAGATAGGAAGATCCATATGTACTTTCCTATGTGGGAAATCAATATTTCGAGGTGTTACATAATTTTTGGCCCAATCAAACTTATAATACCCCCAACACATAGTGTTGTAGGGTATAAAAAGCCAGAAGTTCGCCTATTGTGTATTTCGGATATCGCCTGTAAGTAATGTCAGTATTTTTTCAAACAAAAGTAGTGGTCCAATCTACCGGCTGTCTTAAATTCTAACTTCATGCAAGATCTCGTGTCCTTTGGTTTCTATTTGTAACCTTTTTAACGGCTACAAAATCAGGAACATTTTGAGTTGCTGGTCCATTTCAACCCCTAAATATATTGCGGACATCTTTGAAAACAATAGGCTTAGCCCTTCTGAGCCTAACCCTACCTTTGTCAAAAATTTCGTGAGGATCGAACGATAATTGCAATCTGTGTATAAATAATAACTCCAACCTGTGTTGTAAAGTGCAAAAATATTTACAAAATATACACTTCAATATTATAAGTCAAATTGGAAAAATCGCATGCGATCATCTCCAAAAGAAATAGGGTTCTATTCTGACATTAACCCCATCTACATTTTAAATTTCGTGAAGATCGGGCCATAATTGCGACTTGTACAGTGATTACAAATTAACATGGACAGACGGACAGACGGACGGACATACATGGCTAGATCGACTCATCTCGGCGAGATAGGAAGATCCATATATACTTTCCTATGTGGGAAATCAATATTTCGTGGTGTTACATAATTTTCGGCCCATTCAAACTTATAATACCCCCAGCACAAAGTGTTGTAAAGTATAATAATATGTTGTTTCAAAATTAAAACTCACCGGAAAATTAGGATTGGTTGTCGATGAGTTTGTCATTGCCACCAAAGATATACTGGCGCTGTATCTGGTCATATAATTTATTGCAGCAAAACCAAACAACAGCAATGTCTGGACATGTCTTTGGCCAATAACCGGACCTAAATTGGCAAAATTAATAGGCAGTGTCAATTGATTCAGAACTCCATCTATTGAAATTAAAAAGGTCAGTACCTTTGCTGATATCACTTTCCATTGGAGATTCTCACTTCAGATATTCCGTCGACAGTAGACGCCGTGATCGTTGGCAAATGATT